TGACCGAGGGTCTCGAGCGGGTGCTGTTGGTTCGTGGCGGTGGCCGTGAAGTCATCACCATCTACTCCTGAGCCTGATACAGACTTGTGGCCTACAGTGGAGGTGTTCAGGGTAACACCCCCTCCAGCACCACCCATCTGCCAGTCCTGCTTTGCCTGGCCCAACCCTGGACCCAGCTTTGGAGATTGGGCCTGGGCCTGGCAATGGAGATGGATCCAGGGTCCTATAGGACCCTGAGAGGTTTGGGGACTTTCTCCCTTTCAGCACCCCGGGAGGCCTGGAGAAGACTGGTAGGGCTGACATTGGATTTGGAGACAGCCAGCCCAGGAATGCTATTTATTGAATATTTATTGTTGGGATGTCACCATCAGAGAGAAGGGGAAGGGTGACAAAGGAGGGGGTCCTATCCAGCTCGCCTGCAGGAAGACCTGGCTCAGACTACTGTGGGCAGGGACCCCCACCAAGCCGAGCCTAATGGAGCCAGCCAGCTGAGTCCTAACTTTTTTCAATAAAACATTGTGTACTTCTGGGCCTCCTGCTGCCCAGGCTCTGTTTCCCCTGGCGCCAAGGGAAGAAGGCGGAACTGAACCCAGGCCCAGAGCCGGCTCCAGCTCTAAGGCTGTGCCCCTTTCCCCACAGTTTCTGGCCATTGCCATTGGCCAGACTGTCCCTCCCACTAGCCCAGGGGCCCCTCCCACCCCCACTCCAGATAAGGCCAGCCCAAGATTGCTTCACTGGGCAATAGGCACTAGGGCTGGAATGGGGCTGCCCGGCTCCCCATGGCAGTGGGTGCTGCTGCTGCTGGGGCTGCTGCTCCCCCCTGCTGCCCCTTTCTGGCTCCTCAATGTGCTGTTCCCCCCGCAAACCACGCCCAAGGCTGAGCTCAGTAACCACACACGGCCCGTCATCCTCGGTAAGCCCCCGCCAGGCCCCTGATGCACCAGGCAAGACCTTGGGGAGCCTAGGCCTCAGCCCCAGGTAGTAAACCCTGCCAAGGCCCTTCTGCCCCTGCATTAGCTCTGATACCTGCCTCAGTGTTCGGAGGGGCCAAAGGCTTGTCCTGCAGAGAAGTCAACCCCTTCCCCCCACTACACTGTTCCAGTGTCTCCTGAGTTATCTACCTCAGGTGGGTGGAGTGGGGGGCGGGGGTGTGCCTGAGGGCTTGGCCAGGGCATTACAAGCCCTGCCGCTCCTTCCTCAGCCCCCGCTCCAATGAGGACAAGATGCTGTACTCAGGAGAGCAGGAGAGGCCCATCAAGGCCTGCCTCCTATTCCTAGGCCCAGCCCCCACCGCCCCATACCTGTTTGTTCTCACCTTGGACTTTGGTGGTAATGGAAAGCCAGGCTAGGTGTTTGCATTGCGAGGGCAGAGGTTAGTGGCCCTGGCCTCTGCACTTTTCCTGCCTGAGGGGAGCCTGGGCTTTGCACTGCTCAGGGGACAGGGTGGGTATGGGGACGTGATTAGAAAGAGTGTGTCCTTAATCTCTGGGAGTTGGGGGGGGATGAAGGCTGGTTACTGCAGGGTATGTGTGTGGGGGGTGGTTGTTAGGCTGGGGTGGGGATCATGGGGGAAATCCAAGGAATCTAGAGTGAAGGCTAGTGCCCGCAGTGCCTGGCTGCATGGGGAATCAGCTGGAAGCCAAGCTGGATAAACCAGATGTGGTGAACTGGATGTGCTACCGCAAGACAGAGGACTTCTTCACCATCTGGCTGGATCTCAATATGTTCCTACCCCTTGGAGTAGACTGCTGGATCGATAACACCAGGTATCTGCCATCCCTTCTGCTCCAGCTCCCTCACCCTGCCCCTTGGTTGCTGACCTGCTGAATGGCTCATTGCCCCCAGGGTTGTCTACAACCGCAGCTCTGGGCGTGTGTCCAATGCCCCTGGTGTACAGATCCGTGTCCCCGGCTTTGGGAGGACCTACTCTGTTGAGTACTTGGACAAAAACAAGCTGGCAGGTGTGTGTACTGGGGGAAAGGGTGGGACTCCAGGCTGTGGTGGGCCTGCAGGAGCCATGGCCAGAGCCCCAGTGTTGCTGCCTCCCCAACAGGTTACATGAACACCCTGGTGCAGAATCTGGTCAACAATGGCTATGTGAGGGATGAGACGGTGCGGGCCGCCCCCTATGACTGGCGGCTGGAACCCAGTAGGTGTCTCTAAAGATGATGGGCTCATGGTAGGGCAGGTGGCCCCTAACCCCCAGTGCCCTGTCTCCATTCACACCCTTCTCCCTCCACAGGCCAGCAGGAGGAGTACCACCAGAAGCTCTCTGGGCTGGTAGAAGAGATGCATGCTATTTATGGAAAGCCTGTCTTCCTCATTGGGCACAGCCTTGGCTGCCTGCAGCTGCTCTATTTCTTGCTGCGCCAACCCCAGTCTTGGAAGGATCGCTTCATTGATGGCTTTATCTCTCTTGGGGCTCCCTGGGGTGGCTCCGTCAAGCCCATGCTGGTCTTGGCCTCAGGTGAGAGGGCCTCTGGTCACCTGCATCCTTTGGGGGGATGGAGGGGTGGAATGAAGCTGACCATGGACCTGCCCTCACTCCTGCTTCTGCTCACAATGCCAGGCTAAGGATATTGTCTACAACCCTGGGGCATGGCCCTGGTCATTGGCCCCCCCAAGAGCAGTGATCCTGCCTGGAAATTAGAGTGGCCTCTGCCAGAAACTTAGTGTTGACAAAGGGAAAGTTTAACAGAAAATGAACCCAAGCAATCTGACTCACTGTCACAGGTTTGTTCCTGTGGCCTCAGGTCCTGCCCACCTAGTTTTCAGCTGCCTTCTGCTTCCAGGAACCCCTTTGCCCAGGGATCTGCCCTACTGAAGACAGATTTGCTAAAGCCAGGGCCGGACCCTAGGAGCCCCTCCTGGAGGAGTGGCACAGCTACCACCTGTTGAGCACACACAGTCTGCTGGGCCCAGCCAAACTTGGTCTTCCCTGTAGGGGCTCACAGTCAGGTGAGGGAGACCGTCCTCAGACTACATCAGTTAGTATCAAATACAGACAGGGTCTCATTTCAGCCTTCTCAGAACACAGTTCTGACCCCTGGGCAGCATAGACTACAGGGCCAGCAGAAATGCCTAAGAACTGCCAGCATCATCCCTACCTCCACCTTTCGCACATACACATCCATCATCAGGAAAACCCTCTCTGCCCTCCTTTGAGCCCTACAGCTCTCAGAGGTATCAGGGCTTCTCATTTAATAAGCATACATTAAGCACCTCCTGAATGCTGCTAGGCTTGTTCTGGACTAACTTGGACTCTAGTCTGGCTTGGCGTCAATGTTTGGATTACGGTGGGACAAAATTGAGCATCCAGCTGAGCTTGGGCTGGGAAGCAAGTTGTGGGCCAGGGGCAGCCAGGCCTGGCTCCCTGCCTACTTTGCTCCATGTCCACAGGTGACAACCAGGGCATCCCAATCATGTCCAGCATCAGGCTAAAACAGAAGCAGCGCACAACAACAACGTCCCCCTGGATGTTTCCCGCCAACCGGGTATGGCCTGAGGACCATGTGTTCATTTCCACACCCAGCTTCAACTACACAGGCCGTGACTTTCAGCGCTTCTTTGCAGACCTATACTTTGAGGAAGGCTGGTACATGTGGCTACAGTCGCGTGACCTGCTGGCAGGACTCCCAGCACCTGGTGTAGAAGTATACTGTCTATATGGCGTGGGTCTGCCCACACCCCACACCTACATCTTTGACCATGGCTTCCCCTATACAGACCCTGTGGGTGTGCTCTCTGAGGACGGCGATGACACTGTGGCCACACGCAGCAGTGAGCTCTGTGCCCAATGGAAAGGCCTCCAGCCACAGCCTGTGCACCTGCTGCCTCTGCACAGGATAGAGCACCTCAACATGGTCTTCAGCAACCAGACACTGGAGCACATCAATGCCATCCTGCTGGGTACCTACCGAAGTAGCACCTCTGTACCCACAGCTGCCAGCCCAGGGCCCCTGCCCCCTGAATAAAGATCACCCTTTGCTGCTATAAGCCTTGATATGTGTGTAGTGGGTTGAGGGGGAGGTATTAGAGTTTATACACCAGGATTCATTCAGCAGCAGCTGCAGGCCCGGTGCTTTGTGGAGAATAGGGCAAGAGGGGCTTTGCTAAAACCTAGGATTGAACTAGCCACCCACCTTGAGATGTACAGCTTCCTAGTCTCCTGCATGAACTATTAAGGCAGCCTGTCTTTGTGCCTGCCTCTCTGGGCGTGGGAACTGGGGGCAGCTGCACACACAGCTGTCGGATGGGGGCACATGGAGCCAAGGGTTTGGGATGGGTAAGATCTGAGCTGTTCCAGCTTTCAAAAGGGCAGGCTAGACCCCACCTCTAGCTAGGGCCTTTTGGATGCAGGCGGGTGACAGAAGTACAAGAGATTAGAATCTGGGGGAGTGACAGCCACTAATCAATCATTTCACTAATGATGGTTTAAATAGTGAAATTATTTCTCTAATGAAGGTAAGTAGTCTGAGATAAAAGTTTAGGGAGCACAGGGGGCTGAGGACTGTAGGCTTCCTAGAGGAGGCATTGCCTCTGCTGAGACGAGAGGGATGAGAAGGGTGAAGCGAGCCACTATAAAGACTTGAGTTTGAGCCTAAGAGCAGTGTGCAGGTGCTGAAGGGTTTAATTAGGAGTGTACCAGATTTCATCTCCGAAAGGTAGAGCTGTAGTGAAGGTGGGCCAGGAAGTATGGGGAAGGCAGGGAGGACAGTGTAGTAGCCAGAAGAGGATGCTAGCTGAGACTAAGGCAGTAGTTAGGTGAAAGATGTGGATAAAGGGTCGTTTGGGAGGTGAATTAAGGCTTGGCCATGGGTAGAGCCCAGCGTACCTCCAGGCCACTAGATGGGCAGCCACCGGGCCCCTCTTGAGAGAGGAAAAAGAACCGCCTGAGATAGGGAAGATGAAAGGACCAGCAGTGTCGCCATCACCATGCAGAGGATTGAGCCTCTGTGTTGAGGTTTCTGGGTAGAAAGCGAATGAAAGAAGCAGGAGGTAAAGGGACAAAAAACAGGCAGAAGTTGGGTGAAGGAGAGTGACAAAGGACAAAAACGTCATGCCTGATGCTGTTGGGAGGACTGTAATAATGCAGACTGAGACCTGGCAAAAAGGTCCAACAGCCTTAGTATGTTGGGACTTGAGGTTAGAGATGGGATCAGAGGCAGAAAGGAGCTCAGACTGGAAGGGGGAGGAGGAGCTTAACAATGGCCAGAAGGAAGGGATTTGTCCCTTTGTGCAGAAAACCTAGGAGCAGCCTGGAGAGCCAGGCTAGGTACTTCACCCTCTTCCCAAACTGCTTAGGACCAGAGGTGAAAGTGAAAGAGGAGATGCAAAACAGGCCAGCGTCCTCTAAAGGTGAAAGCGAAAGCAGGAAGCATTAGACTTGGAGCCCTGCAGAGAATAGGCTTCCGCTTTTCTAGCTCTGCTGGTCCCACTCCTCTAGCCATTGACCTCCAATCCCTGGACTCCCCTGTCCCAAGATGCTGCAAACAAAGCTAGAGCCCCGAGGGGGCTTCTCCTTCGAGAACTGCCAGAGGTGAGGTGGGGCGTGGTTGGTCCCAAGCTGCCCATGCTCCCTGTAAGGCGTTCCGGGAGCGGGAGTCCCAAGGGCCTTTATTGCTGGTGGCGGAGGGCGAGACAGGGGCGGCCGGAGATTGCCTGTCGTGGGCGACTTGGGTTCCCAGGTTTACTCCGGGAGGTGAGGGAGACTGGGACGGAATTGGGGAATGTGAAGGGGGTCCCAGAAGAACCGAAGCATGGGCCACTCCCTTCCGTTTCCAGAAACGCATCCTTGGAACGCGCCCTCCCGGGGCTCCGGGTCCCTCATGCACGCAAGACCGGGACCACCATCGCGGGCCTTGTGTTCCGAGTGAGCATGGGGTTGGGACTGGGAGGCTTAGAGAGGCAGCTGGGGATCTGGGAGGCACTAAGCCAACAGCCCCTTTCCTCCCTCCTCAGGACGGGGTCATCCTGGGCGCAGATAAGCGGGCCACTAATGATTCAGTTGTGGCAGACAAGAACTGCGACAAGATCCACTTCATCGCGCCCAAAATCTAGTGAGAATTCCCGGGCCCGTTCTCCCCTCGTTCCCATCCCCCGTCCCCACACATCCTAACCCCGTCCACACCAACCCTCCCTTCGCCCTCAGCTGCTGTGGGGCTGGAGTAGCCGCGGACACCCAGATGACCACGCAGATGGCGGCGTCCAACATGGAGCTACACGCGCTGTCCACTGGCCGCGAGCCCCGCGTGGCCACTGTCACCCGCATTCTGCGCCAGACGCTCTTCCGGTGCTGGGGCAAGGCTAAGGCGACCCTGGGGAGGGGCCATTGCGAGGTGGGCGGGGT